ACATTCATTGAGCACTTCTGGTATGCACACAGTTGTGTCCTTTCTCTACTCTCCTCTTGCCCTTCAGTCTCCACCGACTCCCCCAGTCTCTGCTGCTTTCTGTACTCTGCCAGGGAAGAAAATGGGCATTTATTGATCACCTATTGTGTGCCAGACCGTTCGTACTCTCCCCCTAACCCTTCCACTTCTCCTTCCCTTATCCCTAACTTCTTTCTGTTCCATCAACTCTTTCTCGGGGATGAAAATAAGCAATTATGGGTCACCTGCTGTATGCCAGGCAATTAACATCCCACTTCATCCCTTCTTGCCTCTTTCTTGCCACCCCTCTTGCTCTACTCGCTTCTTCCTTTGCTCTGCTCTCTGGGGAAGAGTACAGGTGTTGACTGAGCACCTCCTGTGTCCCCTGTGGCTCACCCACACCGCTCCTTCTCACACATCCTCTCCTCCGCCTCTCCTCCCTCTGTCCCTCCACCCCCATGGAGGCCTCCTGGGCCAACACTTTTCCTCTTGTTCCTGTCTGTGCCTTCATTTCCATCTTGTTCTCCTGCCCCTTCAGGGAAGACAATGTGCATTTATTGAGTGCCTCCTGTGTGCCCACCACTCACCAGAGCACTTGTTCTCATTCCTCTCTCTCTACCTCCTCTCCTCCAGCATCTTCCCTTCCTCTCTGCCCTGCCAGCTCTTTCCTGGGGGAGGAAATAAGCATGACTGAGTGCCTGCTGTATGCTGCCCCTTCATCTACACCGTCTGCCTGCCTCACAGGCTCTGTTCTCCCTTCTCTCCTTCTCTCTGCTTGCTCCCTTCCTCCTGGCTGCTTGCTCTGTGTTTACTGCCAGGAAGGAGAATGGGCATTTATTAGGCACCTACGGTATATAATCACTTTACGTATATTGTCTCCTTCCCACGCGACAGTCTCTTCTGTTCTCTCTGCTGGAGTTTTCTTCCCCCCTCCCCCCTTCTCCCCTCCTCCTCTCCCCTCCTCCCCCTCCTCCTCCTCTCCCTCTTCTCCCTTCTCCTCCTCTCCTCACTCCTTCTTTACTTTCTCCTGTCTCTTGGGGAAAAGAAACAACACTTCACAAACACCTACTGTCTGCGTCACACTTTCCACCCATGTCCCTCTCTCTATTTTTTTAGTCAGAGTCTCGCTCTGTTGCCCAGGCTGAAGTGCAGTGGCACGATCTCGTCTCACTTCAACCTCCGCCTCCCAAGTTGAAGCGGAGATTATGGGCACCCGCCACCACGGGTGCCTCAGCCTCCCAAGTAGCTAGGATTACAGGCGTGCACCACCATGTTCCGGTAATACTTTTGAAACGGGGTTTCACTGTGTTTACCCAGGCTGGTCTGGAACTCCTGACCTCAGGTAATTCACCCGCCTCGGCCTCCCAGAGTGCTGGGATTACAGGCGTGAGCCACCGAGCCTGGCTCCATGCCCCTCTCTTTAGGCTGCCTATCCTCCTGCTTTTCCCCTGCGGGAGTTTCTCCTCCTCTTTCATGTGGTCCTGGAGGGAATGTGCATTTATTGAGCACCGACTGTGTGCCAGGCTTTTTATATGCACAGCCTCCCCTTCTCTCCCTCTCTTCCCCCTTTCCCTTCCTCTCTCTGCCTTCGTGCTCTCTGTGCCTTCCCCTCGGAAAGGGAAAGGACACCAATTGAGCACCAACTGTGTACCTGGCGACTCTCTCTAGACCCTTCTTTCCTCTGCCCTCTTTTTTTTCCTTCTCAGCAGTAGAAGCTCCAGACCGTTCAGGTGGCAGGGGCTTAGGTTTCCCCAGGGGTTTCAGCCGCCACAGCCTAGAAGGGGCGGCTACACCGCCCGGCAGCACATAGGAAACAGGGAGGGAGGATTTGGGCTACAGCCTGATTTCTCCCTTGGAAAACTAGGTGGATGACAATGGCCACTCCCTCCCAGGACAGGGCGGGGTGGGGAGGCTGAAGGAGGCCTTGAGGGAATCTAGGAAGGAATGCCCTAGAATCTGACCTGAGAGGTGGCCCGTACACACGGAGGGGACGCTTCTGCTACACCTGTCACCACACTGGATTCAAGCCCGACCCTCCTTCCGCTGCCTCCCTCCCCCACCTCCGCAGCCTCCCTGCCTTGCAGGTGCTTGGAGGGTGGTCCCTGGACTCCTCACCACCTGGGGGGGGAGCAGATGAGGAAACTGAGGTCCAGGTGGGGAAGAAGATTTGCCCCTCCTCCATCTCTCCTTCTGCCTCTCCTCTGTGACCCCTTCCTCTGTCTCTCTTGCCCTCGCCTCTCTCCCATTCTCTGAATGTCTCCCCCCACTGCTACCCCCCACTCTGTTCCGGTCTACATGCCCCCAACTCCCCAACTTTTTTTTTTTTTTTTTTTTTGAGACGGGCTCACTCTGTCACCCAGGCTGGAATGCAATGGAGCAATCTCAGCTCATTGCAACCTCCACCTCCCAGGTGCAAGTGATTCTCCTGCCTTGGCCTCCCAAAGTGCTGGGATTACAGGCGCCCGCCACCATGCCTGGCTAATTTTTGTATTTTTAGTAGGAACAGGGTCTCGTTATGGTTGGCCAGGCTGGTCTTGAACGCCTTACCTCAATGATCCACCCACCTCAGCTTCCAATGCCGGGATTACAGGCATCAGCCACTGCACCCAGCCCCAGCTTATCTTTTGACACACACTAGTTCCCTCCCACTACAGCCAGCAGGGTCCTTCACGCCCACCTTCTTCATCACCTCTTTTTCTTTGTCACATACCTTCATGCAGCTGCCCCTCCTCCTTCCTTCTCCTCCCTTCTCCTCCTTCCTCCTCCTCCCTCCTACCCTCCTCCTCCCTCCTCCCCACTCCTTTCTCCTTCCTCCTCCCTCCTCCTCCTTCCTTCTCCTTCCTCTTCCTCCTCCTCCCTTCTCTCTCTCCCTTCCTCTTCCGCCTCCTTTCCTCTTCCCTTTTTCCTCCTCCTTCCTGTCCTCCTCTTCACGTCCTCCGCCTTCATCCTCCTCTCTCCTTCCTCCTCGTCCCTCCTCCTCCCTTCTCCTTCCTCCTCTTGCCTCCCCTCCTCCTCCTCCTTTTCCTCCCCCTTCTTCCCTCCCCTTCCTCCTCTTCCCTCCCTCCTCTTCCCTCCTCCTCCTTCCTCCTCCTCCTCCCCTCTCTCCATAGTACGCACACACACACACACACACACACACACACGCTGTCCCTGTCCCTTCTTTCACTGGGCCCTCTGCGTTTTCTCCTCTCTAGGTCTCACACACTCCTGCTCCTCCCTTGGGTGATGTTCTAGTACTCTACCTGCTTCCACCCAGCCCCACTTTTTCCTGATTGCCCAACTGTGACTCTCAGCCTTTCTGGAATCTTCTCCTTGTCCTCCAGACCTGCCAACCCCCAGGGTCCTCTGCCTTCTCCCCTCTCCCTGTGCTGGATCCTCCCCCTCGTCTTCACCCTTTCATTTCCTCATGTCTATACTTGACCCCCAGAGGATGAGCTGATGGGGCCCCAGTCTGGACTGCGCCCACCTGTCCGTCCACAGCACTGGACTGTGTCAGAAGGGGACAAGCAGGCCAGGGACAAGGGGCGGCACTAGCGGGGACAAGAGGCAGCACTGCGGGGCCAAGAGGCAGCACTGCGGGGACAAGGGGCGTCACTGTGGGACAAGGGGCGGACACTGTGGGGACAAGGGCAGCACTGCGGGGACAAGGGGCGGCACTGCAGGTGGGGCCTGTGCCCTTGGTCTTCCTGCCTCCCTCTCTGCTTCCTTCCAGTTTCTGCCCCTTGGATTTGCCTCTCTTACTTTCCTCCGACCTCCCCCTCCCTTCCTCTGGGCACCTTCAGTGAGCCCCACCCGTGGCTTCTGTATGGTGCCTCAGTCCAGCTCGCTGTCTCTCATTTCCTCATCTCTCTCTTTTCTCTCTCTCTCTCTCTCCTCTGGCTGTCTCTCACTGTATCTTTTCTCCTTCACTGTCTTTTGGTGTCTGTCTCACTCTTTCTCTCTCACTGTCTTTCTCTTCCTCTCATCTCTCTCGCTGTCTCTCTCTTCCTCTCATCTCTCTCTCGCTGTCTCTCTCTTCCTCTCATCTCTCTCTTGCTGTCTCTCTCCTCCTCTC